GATGCAGACTCCAGCTTGTTTGTGCGTTTGCTCTCTGGTTAGTTCTCTCTATCTCTTTCTCGCTTGTTTTTCCCCCTGTGGCTGTAGAACCATGGCTCCACCCAGCACCACATCAGCTCCTCATTAGTGGTTGATCATTGGTGGAGTCAGCGTCATGGTCTTAATCAGCATCTTCTGTTTTCACCTAAAATCCAATATTTACATGTCCTCTCTCCTCTGAACTTTACCCCTCCCCACTCCGCTGTAAATCTTTTCTCCCATTTATATTGACCATTCTGGCAACGCATGTGGGTTTGGTATGTTCATTATCATGGACCCTGTGGCTTTGACTCCTGCTCTCCTACTAATGGTCCTATTAATGCTCTGCTGTAATGTTGGATCTCCAGCAGTTAAGCTCATTCTAGCATTACGCTCAATGCAATTTACTTTATGTATGAAAACCTAAGGTGAATGAGTAAATGCAAATCAAGGTTATTTGTTATGAGGATACATTTAGATGAAGTATTTGTTTCCTGCATGATGATGGCAAACGGGATCATGAAGGGGCGGATGCAGTCCAGGCTTCTCTATCTACCTAATAATTCTACAAACGTCTGTCTGTCTGCATGCGGAATGAATATTTCACCGTTCTTCAGCTCTTTACACACTTTATTGCCTAATCTTAGCATTTTCATTTCTCTATATTGGACTGAGACAGACATCCGGGTGCTGATCTCTGTCATGGCAACAACAAGAATCACTTCTTCTTTAGCAAGTAAAAGCACAATGTTTGTTTTGTTGCTGTAATGCTTCATATGCACTTGAATTACAGAGCTTTTATTACAAGTTGTGAACTTGGGTCTGAAGATGTGTCGATTGCTTAAAAGACCTTTAAAACAGCCGACATATAATAAATAAAAAAAATAAAATCTTTAACGCAGACACAGTTTTCTATCCCTGCTCTGCACCATAGCTCCTGCTTCAAAATACCGTCAACAGCTGCATCAATACTGCACTTTCCAGCATGTTGTCTTCACTTCAGCCACTGCAGGTCAGCACTGTCGTTCTTCGGTATCTCGGCATACTTCTTCTATCTGTGCGGTCATTAAGATTTTGTACTTACCTCACACGGCTTTCAAAAAGTCAATAAGAACCACAGAGGCTCTTGTGAGGCGGTGGTATGAATGTAATCAATGCCAATTTTCTCACCAGTGTTCACAGCCTTAAAAAGGCTTATGGACTAAGTTAAGAAAACACAGGAGTAAATGCACATTTGCCTCAAAAGACTCCCTGTGTTCATGTAAATCAGCCAAAACAGGCTCAAACCCTGCGAAGAAATAGAAAAGTGTAACCAGCTGTTTAAGGTGAATTATTGATATTATTTTTTAAATATAAGAATAGGATGATACTTAACAGTAACACTGCAGTGGTTTTCAGTTACATATGATACAGCCATTTTTTTCCATTCTTTCCATTACACAGTTACAATGTAATGCTTACTGGAAAAGAACAACTTGAATGTGCAGTAAAACCAGTGGTGATGGCTATTACATGTGCATACACCTCGTAGAAGTTGTACTCTACTGTACACTGTAATATAAAGTCCATATGTTCCCCTCCTCCTCGCTCTCGCTATCTGCTTCTTTCCTTTTCCCACTGGGTGGAGGAGCTATAAATTAAAATGGGGAATTACTGCTAACTGTTGGAATAAATTAAGGCGCTTTTGCGTCTGTAAACACCGTCTGACTGCATAATTACACTTCCACTCCCACTGAGACGCTATGGAGAGGGAGGATAAGGAGAGGAAGGTGGCGTAGATGGAGAGCGGTGGCAGTGGGAGACGGAGAAGATGAACAAAGTGTCACAAGGGGGGGTCACGTATTAGATTCACTCCATTGCTGAGTCCTGGATGCTGGCTGGGCACTCCTACAGATTAGGGGGGAAAGGTGACTTTGAACATCATGATCTCAATCACCATATTGTTCATTAAGTCTTAATGATATTGGGCAAAATGCTGCATACCTACTCTGAACGACAACAAACAGCAGAGGCTTTCTCTGGAGTCGCCCTGTGGAAGATCTACGTATTCGAGCCGTTGGACCTCGTGCATTTCAATCGGAAGAGAAATTAGTTTGACATCATGTAAAGCTAAGAGCTCTCTCTCATTCTGTGATCTAATTACAGTATGACCACGTTAATGGCAAATCACATTTAGCAGTACAGTAGATCATTGGATGGAGCAAGAGCTGCTTAATCACAAAAGGATCTTAACAGCTGGTTCTAACCAGAGCCAGATATGCGCAGCCTTCAAAGACGGCGATGTCATCGGCCTGAGAAAAGAGCAAATCACAGTTAGTATTACAAGAACCAGGCAAATTTAATTAACACGTTTGAGAAGACATGTTTGTGCACGCCACCGTACAACCACATCAACTGCTGACAGTGAGTGGTGCACGCAAACACTGTTGTTGACATCAGCCGAAAACACAACTGGTGTGGTAGTTCAATCACCGTTTCAATTTGCAGGCCACGCAGCCAAATAAATGAAGGGCAAATTACATAAAGCTCGGCTCACCTTAGCATTTCATTCAACAGCCAGCCCCTCGCACATGTCCAGAGCTGCCTGAGTGAGCCCAGCAATGATTGGATCGTTGGCTTGCACATAATGGCAGACAGCTCCTCCGATGGTGTTGTATATTTGAGGTAGCACATGTTTCATTTGTGCACACGTCCAGCTCGTCACATAGTTAGACAGAGACATGCACCTTTCCTTTTTTCCCCTCACCCAACCACCAGTCACCTCATTTTTATAAAAACATTGCTGCTCAATGGAAAATGTTGGAGCTGTGTGACTCCACAGTTCACATGAGTCAGATTATTATTATTAGGCTACATATTACCAAGCACACCAGATCACTGCGAACAACACTGCCACACTTAATCCAGACTCATTCTCTCCGGAAACCAACTCACTCCTGCTCTCTGTTCAAAGAGCTATAAGGTTATCAATTAGTTGTCAGGCTGTGACAACTCTCAGATGTTCCAGTAATTATTTCCCAGAAAAACACTGACAGAAATGTGAAGCACACAAAATTACATCAATTGCACTGCGAGCGCAGGAGTGCACGACGGCTCCCAAAACTATGAGTAGCTGCATTTGTCAAGGTCCTGCTGAATCATTAGCTGTCAGACGATGATGCTCTGCATTGTAATTACAGGAGCCACTGATCTTTTCTTACACTTCTGCCATCTATGTGTAAAAATTGAGCTTTTTCAACACAAATCACAGAATATGACGGAGTGGCATGAAAAGCAATATCAAAACTGTAGAAACAGCACATTTTGTCCGCTGACATGTGCACATGTAGTTGGGGAAGGAGAGGCTGGAGCCGTGCCACACCCCGTCACAGGCTCTTGAACTGACACTGGTGATGGTTTGTGATGCACAACTGAAATGTAAGCAGCTGGTCTCATCTCAGGTCCCACCAGGGGCACTTGCAGCTCTCTGTCCTCCCACAGCAAACTACGACCCACATCACTCTGGGGACTAAATACCAGCTGCCTGACCAATGTGAGGACCGCTTTGAAAACACTAACAACAGTGGGACAGAATCACCACCTGCCCCTACATGCTCCTATGAACAGAGCAGAGCTTTTATTGAGGCAAACAAACAAATAAACAAACATCAACCATTCCCACAAGAAGGCAATATATCCATGTAACTGTTTTTCCAAATGCTACTGCGCAGGTACTCCAGGCGATGGTCATATAGATAGATAGATATATAAAAAACACATGCCTGGGAGCACCTGGACAACGTCCTCACAATTGGGTCAGAACATTCTCCGGAGTTTGCTCTTAACACAGGCACAATGCAGCAGGAGATTCTCTGGTCAGATGCAATAACAACAACACAAACGTCTCCAGAGCATTCAAGTGAGGGGTGGTATGCCACATGCATAAGATATTAATCCTGCTCAGGGGATCACACGGTTTTGAATCGTCAGCGGTATGGCACAGCCTGAGTTTTTAGGAGGGAGCAGGCTGGAGAAACACCGGAGATTCTCCGGACTTGAGTGCATGTCTGAAAGTAGCAAGTTATTAATATTACATGATTAAAGTGTCAAAATGGTCGACAACAAGTTGTATTTTCAGCTCTATGTTTACAGTATTACTATATATCGCAATATGTATCTTATTGTATTGTATAGCAATATTTCGTTTTGTGATAGGTATTGTGAGGTCCTTGCGAATACACAGCTCTGAAAGATAGACAGATGTATATGCATGGTCCGAATGGCTCTGAAGTTCACAGAGGAATAAAGAATGGGAGCAGCTGAGAGAGAGAGAGAGAGAGAGAGAGAGAGAGAGAGAGAGAGAGA